CCCTCCCTACTTTTTCTTTCCTTCCACGTCACTGTCTTCTTTAATTCTGTTATTCCGGGGTAAAGGGATTGGTTTTACTTCTGTTTGTTCAATCTCCTATTCTTTACGTATGCCCTCTTACTTTGTTGAATTCTGGAGTTGCACTGTAGGTTGGAGGTGGTCCTTTTTGCAGTTTTGAGATTTACTTAAGGGGAGAGCTGTGATTCAAAATCTGTCTGCAGGTCCTGGTTTTCGCTGACAGGTGTGTGGATAATATGGAACCCACTTCCCACTGCCCTGGAATCTGTCTGTGCAGTGGGGCTGTAGGTTTACTCCCTGAAATAAAATGTGGTTAGCAGAGGGGAGAGAATGGAGCAGATAGTGGGTTGAAGAGGGGAGTGGAGAGATAGAGGAGTAAGGGGGGAAACAAACGAGTGTGCCAACAAATAGAGAGAGAGGCCTATACTGAAACAGATAAAAACAATAGACCACAGCTACAGACGAACCAACTTTCATACAAAAAATAAAAATAAAACATATAGTGATGCTAACATACAAGCTAACCAACCACCTTGTTAGTGTGCTGTTCCTCTATACAAAGATATGGTTTACAGAGAGAAGAAAAGGAAAAGGAAAAAAGAAAAAAGGGAACAATACAGTAGGAATAGAATTAAGTCATTACACTAATAGAATCAATGAAGCACACTCTGAGACATTTCGTTTAAGTTCAGTGTCCTTTCAGGTCTGATTTCTAGTTTTCTTTTCAAGCTGGTAAATCAGTTTGCAGTTAGGGTCAGTTGCCCCTGATCTGCTGTGAAGGACAGTTCAGATTACCCTCCGTTCAGCACTTTGGTCTATGTCTTTATCAAGCTCGTTTCTCCCGTTTCGGTGTTGTTACCTTGAATCGCCAGCAGGTGGTGCTATCTCAGCTGCTCATCCCAGAGGGGGTGGGGCCGGACAGGAACAAGATGGCTGCCTGCCTCAGGGCAGGCAACAGGAGCCTTACAGCGGGCGGGCAGGACAGTCTCTGCAGCAGGAGAGGTGGCAGTGATCCCAGCAGATCTTCCCTGAAGGGGTTTGATGTGGATCGCCTCCGGCCGGGTGGTGTGACGTACTACGGCTGTCATGGAGGCTGCGGCAGCAGCAGCGGCAACGGCGGGGGGGGGGCCTGCGGCGGCGGCACCATTTGCACGGCAGTGACTCTCCAGTCCGTTGCGATGTCCCAGCGGTGGCAACGGCCGAGCTCCGTATGAAGAGCAGGCTGCGATATTGGGGTCCACAGCCCCCCAGGGCGAGAGTCAGAGACCCACTGAAGATCTCCTTTGCAGAGGGCTTCAGAGACCGGGTTGCCTGGTCGCCATCTTGCCGCTTCTCCCTCCCTTCCACTTTCAAGTATTAAAATGTCACATTGTATAGTAGTTATCAGCAAATAGGTAAAGCCACAGCACTATTAGCACTGGAAGGCTTTAATTATTCTTTTCCGTGTAGACATGGCAAGTGATGCCCATGCTCAAAATATCTTAGGATGATGATCATGATGATGATATTATTAAAATTTTGTTTTCTGGCCGGGCGCAGTGGCTCAAGCCTGTAATCCCAGCACTTTGGAAGACCGAGGCGAGAGGATTGCCTGAGCCCAGGGGTTCGAGATCAGCCTGGGCAACTTGGTGAGACCTTGTCTCTACAATATATATATTTTAAAAATTAGCCAGGCATGGTAGTGCATGCCTGTAGTTCCAGCTATTTGGAAGGCTGAGGCGGAAGGATCACCTGAGCCCAGCAGATCGATGCTGAGGTGGCCGTGAGTGTGCCACTGAACTCCAGCCTGGGCAGCAGAGTGAGACTCTAACTCAAAAAAAAAATATTTTTTGTTTTCCACTTGTATTGTAGAGCTTACACAGTAGTCTTACCTACATTATTTGAATTTGTTCCCTAAAGTAACACTGTGAGATAATCGAGTTCTGAATTCTCTAATTACATTACATTACATTTTATAGCTGATGTAAAAAAAATTCTGACTTTGACTCTGGAAGTAGTGCCTTTTCGGTTTAAACCATACTACTTTTTGTTCCCTATTCCATATAACTTACCTGGTATGTCTATAAATACTAGATTTTAGACTAAAGATTAGACAACATTTATCTTATTTAGAGGGAACTAAGGAAAAGATTTAAAAATCAAAACAGTAAATTGATTTACTTATTAGCAGATCAAGGAAGAGTTATAAATTTGGGGACTGAGACTTGATTACCAAAATTGGGGAAAGTATTTATTTGTGTACTTATTTATTTTACTTTTGAGGAAAATATTTGTACTAAGAAGTGTAAACATGTCTTATTTATAAGATCTGACTCTATACTGAATATATATTTAAACTGATAAAAGTATGAAAAGTTAAATTTTCAAGGATTTTAAAGGGTAAATAGTTAAACTTAATTTAAATGGGGGATTTCATCTCTCTAGTTAGAGAAGTCTTCATGTTACCATAGATCATGTCCATTCATTCATCATTCACTCTAATTGTCCTTTGTTCCTACCTAATGAAGTATGCTATGTGTTTGTTTTGCAGACCTAAAGCGGGAAGCCAGTATCTGTCATATGCTGAAGCATCCACACATTGTAGAGTTATTGGAGACATATAGCTCAGATGGAATGCTTTACATGGTTTTCGAATTGTGAGTATGCATTTTATTTCTTAAGGGGTAAAATTTTAAGCAATATTGGTTTTGGATAATGCTAACACTTTTCTCTTGAAATTTAACAATAGTTGTGAATTCATCTGTTTAGAAAGACCTAAAGTCATAAGAAAAAAAGATTATCTTGAGGTTTACAGTGGCAAAGGAAGCAAAAACTGGGCATATTCAGTTACCCTCACACTTTCAGCACACTTCAGAGAAGAGCCTCCAACAGGAAATAGAGTTCAGAAGGATAGGAGGAGGCCCCAAAATATAAAATTCTGACCATGTAGAAGTCTTAGTGAAGGATAAGAGTTGAGGCCTCCATGTAGCAAGTCTCTCTGGCAGCTATAAAAGTAATGACAGACTTCATTTCCCCTTTTGATACAATCACTGTATGCCTTATAAAGGCAATTCTATAGCTCATGCTTTATCTTGATTTCAATAAGCCACTTGATATGTTTATCCCAGAATTTTTGTCAATAAGATAGAGAAATGTGAGCTAAAGTTTGTACACCTGGGTTGTTCATACCTGGTTGGATGATTGTGTCCAAAGAGACTGTATAAAACTTTATAGAACAGCATCCTGCAGGACTTTGTCTTTGATCCTGTTGTGTTCAAAATTATAATCAGTGACTTGGATTGGGGGAAACAAAGGAAGGTATGCTTGCTAAGTATTCAAAAGATACCAAGGTTAGAGGGTGTGTTTGTTATCTACTGCTTCATAACAAAATACCCTAAAACTTAATAGCTCAAAAAACGCACATTTATTATCTTACATTCTGTACATCAGGAATGTGAGTTCAACTTTGCCAGGACCTCTGAATCTGTGTCTTTTACAAGGTGGTAATTAAGATGTTGGCCAGGGTTGAAGTCATCTTAAGGCCCCACTGGAGGATGAATCTGCTTCCAAGCTCACTCATGTGGTTGTTGACAGCCTTCAGTTCCTCACAGGCTATTGAACTAAGGGTCTCAGTTCCTTATGAACTGTTGGCCTCCCTTGGTTCCTTGTCAGGTAGCCCTCTCCAAAGAGCAGCTTACAACATGACAGCTGGCTTCATCAGAGCAACCAAGCAAGAGGGCAAAAAAGACCGTGAGTAAGACAGAAGTCACTGTCCTGTAACCTAATCTCAAAACTTACATGTCATCACTTCTGCCATATTCTGTTAGTTAGAAACAAGTCACTTGATCAAGTCCACACATGAGGGGAAGAGATTACACTAGGGCCTGAATACCAGGAGGTGAGGATCACTGGGAAGCATTTCACAAGCTTCCCCCCACAGAGGGCTAGCTAACACATTGGCTATCTGCTTCAAAATTCAAAAATATGTTTACAAGTTGGAGAAGGGAGCTGAAACATAGAAAGTGAAATTTAAGGCCAATTAATATACACTCCTTAATTCAGAGATATAGGTGCAAGATCAGTGTGACTTTAGTTGAGACTACTTACGTGAAAAAAATATAAACATTTTAGTTAGTTGTTTACCGCTTAAAAAGCCTTGAATGGAATATTAGGCTATATTAATTAGAAGTGTATCATTTTCAGAACAAAACCACACTCCCACTGTTCTCTCTGGAGTGTTTCTAGTAAGCAGGATACGGGAATGTCTGCAGAAGGGGATAACTAGAATGGAAATGAGCCTGGAAATTCTGTCATAGAGTCATGTCCTTCAAAATCTTTGCTGGCAGGTCACTAAAATAATTTTGAAAAACTTATGTACTTAGAGAGGTCCTCTAATATCCCTTCCAATTTTAAGATATTATAACTCATGTGTTTTAGATTGATATAGAAAAACTTTTATTTTGAGAATGTAATTCTCAGTGTCTTGGATATTCTTTTGAACATATTTTTTTCACAACTGTAGAGCTGCATATTTATCTCATTCAATATATGAAAAATGTCTGCTATGTGACCTACATGGCAATGCCAGTCCTCATTGTCCAATCACTCAGCCAGATCATGCTCATTTTCTGTCAGAAAAAAAAAAAATCTGACTTCGTTTTTTAAATAAAATTGAAGTGTTAGCCTGGCTCGGTGGCCCAGCCTGTAATCCCGTGCCTTTGGGAGGCTAAGGTGAGTGGATTGCTGAGCCCGTGGGTTCAAGACCCGCCTGGGCAACTTGGCGAGACCTCATCTCTACAATAAATTTTAAAAGTAGCCAGGCGTGGTAGCGCATGCCTGTAGTTCCAGCTACTCGGAAGGCTGAGGCAGAAGGATTGCTGGAGCCCAGCAGGTCGAGGCTGCACTCTAGCTGGGCGACAGAGTGAGACTCCAACTCAAAAAAAAAAATCAAAAAATTAAAGTGTTGATGGACATCCCTGTGACATTCATCTTACTATTAATTTCAAATTATAAAATAGATCAGGCTTTCCCATGAATATGTTGCCTGGATGAAGTAAGGTGGCACCTCCCTTTTTTTTTTCTCAAGGATCTCTCCTTTCCTCAGAAGTTGTGCATTCCCGAATTATCTGGTTGAAGCTAGACAGGCTTTTGGGATGGAGAAGCAGTTTGTCTTTTAAGATGGGTGATTGCAGATGTGGGGATGTGAAAGGAAAACCAGCAGACTGCACATTTGTTTTCAGATAGACCAAATGATGACAAAGATAGAGTAATTGATAGCCTTAAAAATATACTAGTTCATGTGTCCTCTAGAAGGACTTTGGGTACTTCCAGAGATACCCAAATCCCAGGATGAAGACCACAGGCATGGAAGAGCTCTTGAAAAAACTGGGGGGCAATCCCCTCGGGTCCCCTCCTGCTCTGGGAGCTTTTCTGTCCTCTCAGTAAATCCTACTTTCTTTAAAAAAAAAAAAAAACTGGGAAGCTTTGGTCACTCGTGAATATATTTTATTATTCTGCTACAAGAGTCCCCAAAGCCCACAGATAGAACATAATCAATGTTTTCAGTTATTTGAAAAGTCATCATGTATAAGAAGATTATATGCTTATTCAGTGTAGCATCACAGGCTGTAACTAGCATCAACAAATGGCAGATTTCACCTCTAAGGAAGACCTTTAATGATTAGAATTACTCCATGAACGAATCAGGCTGTCTCACAGACTGTGCACTTCCTCACTAGAAATGCTGGGGCTGGATCCATCCAAGGAAGCTAAAGATAAGATTTTAATTTTAGAAGAGTGAGGTCCTCTAATGTCCCTTCTAATCTTAAGATATTATAATTCTTTAAAATTACTTTTCTGGCTTAATTTTATTCTTTATTTAAGAAATCTGTTTCTGTTCATATGTTTATTCTCTGAGAAAACCAAAAAAACAGATTTTATTATATATTATAAGTTGAGTGTAGAAATAAAAATTTTAAAATTCATCTAAATTTTAGCATGTATTCTATTTGTATCAAAGGGGCCTAAGTGACAGTGGAGAGAAGAGGATCTTTGGTATCATAAAACCGGAGTCAGCATCCTGACTCTGTCACCTTTACTAATTATGTGACTTTGGCCAAGTCTTGTAACATCTCTGAGCCTCAGTTTTCTTACCTTCAAAATCTTCATAAAGGTTCAGGGAACTAGATGAGAAACTGCATGTGAATTCCCTTTGTAAATGGTGAAGTGCTTTTTAACTATAAAGTATTATTTCCAGTGACTTTAACAGGCTAGTTTTAGTTCCTCGGTGTCGAAGCCGTCTGGGATGGGGGGGCCAAAAACGTGGAATTATGTTTTGGAGGGCAGGCCCCTTGTAGTACACTTGGAGTTTTTTCCTCTGGATCAAATAGTCAATCAATGTTTTTATCTGAAAGTGTTGAGAAAGTTGCATCACAATTTGCAGAAGAAACATCTCGAACTGTGGCTGGTTCTTTCACCATGACAACGCACCTGCCCATACTGTGCTGAGTGTTCAGCAGTTTTTCAGCAAAAATAGCATGACCCCCATGCCCCACCCTCCCTATTCCCCCGATCTCACCCTGAGCGACTTCTTTTTTGTTCCCTGAAAGACATCCTTAAGGGAAATGTTTTGCCAGTGTGGAAGAGGTGAAACAAAAAACAGCAAAAACACTAAAAGGCATCAAAATTGATGAGTTCAAAAACTGTTTTTGAGCAGTGGAAAAAGCATCTCAGTAGGTGTATTGCATCAAACAGAGTACTTTGAAGATGACTGAAGTTTAAACATGTAAAAATAAATATACAATTTTTAATAAATAAATTCCAGGTTTGGGGGCCCCTCCTTGTATATGGGATTTTATGTAGCTAATTTGATATGATTCAGTTGTGATTGAAATAACTCACTGATGGCTGTATGTTGAAATGAGACCTCGTTAAAGTTGGATATGTACCAGTGACCTAATCTCAATGTTAACCCAGATCACTAGTACTTGGCTTTCTGTTTTCATTTTTTTAACATTTAATTGTAGAGAATTTCAAAAGAGAGAATAGTCAATAGTTACTTTGCCATTTCTGTTCTATTATTTCCTGTTGTCTTCCCCACTCCCATATATTTCTAAAGCAATATCATTTCACCTATAAATACTCCTATTATATTTCTTACAAAGACTTTTTTTAAATGGTCATATACTATCATATCTAACAAAATCAACAATAACTTCTCAATATCATGTCATGTTCAGGTGATATTCAGTTTTTCCTGATTGAGCATGAATTTTAAATGACAGATTTCTAAATTTGGAGTTTTTTTGTTTATTTTGTTTTGTTTTTAATCGGAATCTCACTCTGTTGCCCAGGCTGGAGTGCAGTGGCATGCTTACAGCCACTGCAACCTTGACCTGCTGGGCTCAGGTGATCCTTCCGCCTCAGCCTTCCAGGTAGCTGGACAGGTGTGCCCCACCACGCCTGGCTAATTTTTTTATTTATTGTAGAGATGAGGTCTCACCGTGTTGCCCAAGCTGGTCTCAAACCTGCGGGCTCAGGCATTCCTCTCACCTCCTCCTTTCTTAGTGCTAAGATTACAGGTGTGAGCCACCACGCCCAGTTTAGAATTGTTTTATTAGCTCTAGGGATCTGGAAGTATATCATAAATTCACAGTTAAAATAGTTATTTCTCAGAAGGGCCAGAAATAGATATATAAATTGTTATTTTGTATCAATGTTTTATAAATTCACCTCAGCACTTGACCTTGCCCAGTTCTTTGCATCCTTCTTGATCTCCTGGGTTTCAAACCAACCAACCAACCAACCAACCAACCAAAACATTGATTACTGTAAGATTTAAGGCCCTGTGGATCAAAGAACAAAGCCAATATGTTTGTGTGTGGTT